CAGTTCTGGGGAAACGAAGGGATGCGGATGGAAACTACCTTTATTCCGACTAGCCTCGATGTGGGTGCATTCAGAAGAGGGCGATGGAAAATCCCGTTCAGCGCGCTTTTCGTTGTCCTCCCAGTGCTTCGTTCGCAGGCCCTATAAGAACTCCGCCGCGGCGCTCTCGCGCTCTCTCGCTCTCTCTTTCTCTGCTGCTCAACCCAGTGCTCGATGACGTCACCGCTGCCAGGGCTGGACTGCCCTGGGCGAACACTGTTCGTGACTCAAAAGCAACAAGTACAAAATACAAGATCGCCATGTATTGCCAACTTAATTGTTTCTGTTTCTGTTTCATAAAAAACAGTAAGAGCCCACCCAGACTCATAACCAACCCAGGGACCCCCAGTACATACACTGTAAAAAATGACCGTGAATTTAACGGTAAAAGACTGTAAAAATGCTACAGTAAAATCCTGTTAAATGGTTAACGGTAAATTCCCCTACTATATACGGTGAAAAACTGTATTGGACATTACATGTATTGGACATTAATTTTACGGTAGTATACCATTTTTGGAAGTTTTTACAGTATTTTTTAACAGTACTGTAGCTTTGCAGGTAGGTTTCTTGAAGCATCTTGGAGACGTTGCCACAGTTCTTCTGGATTTAGTCTGTCTCAGTTTGTTCTGTTTCTTCATGTCATTCCAGACAGACTGGATGATAGTGAGATCAGATCTCCGTGTGGAGCATTGGCTGTCAGACTCCTTGTGCAAACAAAAATCTCACTGGATTATTAAAATTAATGACAAAATGAATGTTTGGAAATGTAAACTGATATGTCCTACTGACAGTGACACAGTACAGCAAAAGATAGAAATAACTGACGTAAAACCATTTTTAGCAGTTGAAAACGGAAAATACTAGTGTTCTATAATTTTGGCCACTGCTGTATTTAGAAGAAGAAGAAAAACTACTTTTCTAGGTAAATATGAGAAATATGCATGTGAGAATGTTACCTTGGCATTCATATGACATATCATATCAATAAGTTTGCAATTCTTAATGCTGTTTCCAAATAAATGCCATGTTACTGTTTTTTCCTCTTTCCTAGGCCTATTTGATCATTTTAAAGCAATTTGTCATTCAGTTCAGTTTACAGTAGTAAATTCAGGAATATTTTCATTCATAATGTATAATTTTGAGATTCTTAATGCTGTTTCAAAATAAATGCCATAGAATCAGTTTTTCCCCCTTTCTTTCTGTATGCTGTTTGGTCATTTTTAAACAATTTAAATTAAATTCAGTTTACAGTAGTACATTCAGGAATGTTTTTGATGATGATGTTTGTTCATTTACATTTTTAAGGCATCATTTCCCCAAAACTATATTGTAAACACAAAACTAAAACTATATATTACAGAATTGTTTAAAATTGTATTAATCTTTTTACCTGAATATTTCTGCAATCAATGTATAGTACAGAAGTATTATGTTATGAAGTTCACAATATGTTGTTCTAAAAATCTGATTCAAGTAAAAGGCAATGATCTATTGTTTTTAGTCTGTAATGAATGTTTAGTGCTGTATGCATTTGATAGCAAAGTTCGAAGGATTATACAGTTTTAAAAAGAAAGTTTTTGTCAAAAAATTGAGTTGTTGTGTTTATAGTTTAAAGCAATTAAAGTGTCTTAGCTAGTGAGAAAACTGTAAATATGTCACAGCAAATGTTAGTGAGAAAGAGGCCACATGATTAATGAAAATAGTGTTTGCTTTTACATGACCATCTGCTTTATGTCATGTTGTTGGCCTCTGTGTGAACATGATCATCCTTGACCTTGACTCTTCTTATTCAGGGATTCTCTCTGTACTGACAGGAGTGTGTGTGTGCGTGTGTGTGTGGTTGGCAGCCCATATCCTATCCCTGATCAGCTCAGTAAGAGAGTGAGTTCAAATGCTATTGACTGAGTGCAGTATTCCTGCTGCAAGCTCATGAGGGATGCCACAGTCATCAGAGAGATGGGCCTTTCAATATCATCTGAAGGACAGAAAACTGCTCTCTCTCTCTCTCTCACACACACACACACACACACAAACGCACACACCAAAGCTGGCTGCTGACAAGCCAAATGGCAAAATTTAGATGACAGGAAATCAATGAAAGCCAAATTATGATCTGTGAATATACCGGATGGAAACGCTAAAAGGATTCATTCATGGCACTAGTCCAGGTTTGGCTCAACCATGCAAAAGACAAACATCTTACGTCTTAGATAGTCAGAGTTTAGAAGTTGCTTTTGAAGGGTTGGATTTAAAACATTTCAGTTGATTCTTTCAAAGAAATAAAGCTATAAATTCTGTGTCCGTTGGAGTGAACCCCCCTCCCCCCTCTCCTCTCTCTCTACATACATTGGTTAATTGTTTTGTTGAATTCATAAAGCTCAACAATTCAACCCTGTTACAAAAGCTGTTACAAGAAAAATATTTCCCCATAATTTATGGTAAGTATAATAACTACAAACCATTTGCACTTTTGAGCTCTTGATTTAAACTATAGATTTGCAGTCATTTGTATTTACATTCGGGCCATAATAGGACATTCACATTTTGTTCTTGAGTCACTTCAGTGTTTAATTAGAAACAAATTCACATAAATTCTGTATTTGGTGTCATAACTAACCTACAGTTTGAGCATTCTTCTATACGTTTTATCTTTTTGTTGAAAAATAGCACCCCCTGTTGTCCAAAAGTAATGCCAAGAAGTACACATCGAAGAATTTGCTTCAGAGGTCATGCGGTTCAGCATGACGTTGTAAATTTATATATTAAAGGTGTCCTATTATGCTCTTTTACAAAGTCTTGATTTTGTTTTGGGGGTGTACTAGAACAGGCTCTCATACTAGGTTGTTCGAAAAACACATTATCTGTAACTTTGCAGATCTTTTTTATGCTCAAACAGCAACATTACAGACTAACTAAAGTTGAAAAAGTGAAAAAGCATAATAGGACCCCTTTAACATTATATGTCTTTTTATCGACTGGTAGAGTTTTGTGTGTTCCTTGAATTTTGTGTCTTCGTTGTGTTGACTGTTGTTTGTTCAATTCATGATTCATAGGTTTTTGGTGTAATTCAAAAGCAATTTTTGCAAATGACTTATGAAGGAAATTGTATTAGATTAGAATAAAATGCATTTAAAGGGATAGTTCACCCAAAAATGAAAATTATGTCATTATTTACTCAGAATCTGAGAGCTCTCTGACCCTCCATAGACAGCAAGGGTCCTTACATGATCAAGGTCCAGAAACGTAGCAATGTGGCATGTGACATCAGGGGTTCATGTGACATCAGGGGTTCAACCGTAATTTTATGAAGCTACGAGAATAATTTTGAGCGCAAAAGAAAAAATAATTACGACTTTATTCAACAATTCGTCTCCACTGAATGTAAATTGCGTATGTGGTTTTGTGTCAGCTGTACCACGCGGATAGGCTGTTTACTTCGTTTCCGCTTTGATTTGAACGAAAACAACGTATCCACGTGGCGCAGAAGAACAACGACAAGGTGGACATTTTGCTGTTGTCTTGATGTCACTAAAGGGGATGGCCTTTTCTTAAAGGGGCGGATTCCCCAATACGACAGGGTGGACAAGCATTCAAGGGACATGGACAAACTCTTCCGTTTTATTAAATAAAAATATAGCTTTTATTACCAAATAATCAATACACTCAAATTGAGTAATCTATTATTTAACAAAATATTAATGGGGGAATTTTTTTTGACAATTTGACTATATTCTACTATCATTAAAATTTAACGAGCAGTGCATGGGACATAGCAAAATAACACGCATCCTCTTATACAAAGCTAAAAAAAATCCAGAAAATGTATCTAAAGAGCCAAGTAATGCTTTTGTTATGAATATAAAAACTTAGCCTAATATAACACACCCTTTCATAGTCATTTTTATGTTATTTATGTTAAGTTATCATGGCAAATGAATACAGGACACCAAGAGGCACCCTACAGTGATACTGACCCATATATACCACAAGACAAAATAATAACTGAATTTACACAAACGACCCATGCCGTTCAAGATGCTCGATTCTTAATAGTGTGTGTTGTTGCCTAGAAGATCAAAAGCTTCTTGACCATCAATGAATAATTGCACCTTTTGTAGTAGTTGTGTACGAGTCCCTTGGATCTCAATATCATATACAGTCACTATTGGAAAGGGTTAGTGCAGGATTTTTCTAAAGAAAAGGGGGCAATTTCACTATCACAAAACATACAAACAGTCACTGTTCCAGAGTTTTAACATTCAGGGGTATATAATCTTTTGAACTGGTTCATCTCTGTAAATTCAGCTACTATTTTGTGGACTATATAAGTGACTGTTGAGTAAAAAAAGTTTATTCAAGGCAGTGCCACGTAAAAAAAACAACAAGCAATTTATGATCCCTCTTATTTTTTCTAAATTATTAACATTTTGCAAATTCTGCATAGTATATGTCAACTTATGACCTTAACTATATTTGGGAAACAAAAAAAAGAGTGTAATATGCTGATTAAATATTTTAGTGCTGAGCAAAACTATTCCATATTTTTCAAGGTCTGGAAATTAGTTTTAAACATTGTATGGTATACTGAAAAATTTAGTATCCTGCAGTGAGGGAAAGGGGGCAATGGGGAGAATCTTGTGGGGCATTTTATGATATGCACTATTCTAAGACATTCTTAGTTTAAAAAAAAAATAAAATAAAATAAAATAAAAACATTTTTAAATTAGATAAAAAAGATAAAGAGGACAGACTTGGAAAAAAAGTAAAAAAATAAATAAAAAAATAAATCAGGAATAACACCCAAATTACACAGAACCAAAAACCACCCCGTTGACAACGAAGAGGTCATTTAAGTCTTTCAGTATTCTTGTATACAAGTCTTTATACAACGTAATCAAACTCCAGATGTTCTCAATTCCTGAAAATGTATTTTCATTTTCAAGCAAGAACAAGGCATATTTTAAAAAGTTTTTTTTTTATATATAAATAACTTTAACAGAATAGTAACTTGTGTGCAAAATCTTGGTGCTAAATGTATCAAGTCCATGTGGTCAGTATCCTCACAAAAACTCTGCATATGTAGTGAGTAACTGTAAAATGACAGATGTGCGTATTAAGTCTATTATCAGAGCAAAGGCTCAGGTCAAGAGTCATGTTGATATCTATCTCTCAACTCTGGGCCAGCTCCAGTTTGTTTTCTGATGTTTTTGGTGCTTCAATTACTTCTCCACACATGAACTGCTCCTACAACAAAAACATATTGTATATTTTAGACTTAGAAAATGATTAGATTACATGATTCTTAACACAATTCTCATAATTTAGCTCAACCTTTACAACAGATCAAATGTTATCAGAGATCATTAAGTAATCACAGTAACAGAATACTGCAATAATGTATTTTTAAGGCCTTTCTACAGAAATTTAATCTCAGCGGATTGTAAATAGCTGTTTTTCCCCACAATCATTAATGAATATTAGCTGTAATCCTTAAATTTTCAAATTAACTTAGGTGAATGATTAATTTAATTAAATTTTTATAATTATACAAGAAAACACATACAATAAACAAGATAGGCATTATTTCTACAATAAATCAAGAACATTAATAATCATATGGTTACAAATTGGTTACCAGATATATATGCCACTTGTTTTTTTGTTTTTTTTATAGACAAGGCTATCAAACAAGAGGACTGTAATGTGATTGTTTATTAAATGATCCTTAATTGTTTGCAGTGCGAAACAAAAATAACCAAGCCAAGTTATCTATACACAAATAGCCTACCAGAACATACTAAACATCCTACCTTATCATAGATTACTTTTACTATAAGTGAGCAACTCGGACAGGTGGCCACTTCTTCACCATTCTCAATATCCTCCTGAAAAAAACAGAAGTAGTTCCCCCTTAACAAAATACTATTTAGTTCAACTAAAAATATTTGCCACTTAGCTATACACTGACACCTCTTGAGTCAATACACATATGTACATTATTAAATCACTTAAGTGGCCGTTTATTTTTTTCTGGGTTATTATATTGTCCGTTCAGCAGTAGTTCTTTACTTAGACTATTCCAAAAATGTATCCATTAAAAGTGATTACACAAATTCAAATAGAACTCTACATAGAAATGGCATATATACACGTTTATAAATTTAAGAAAGCGATAATGTCAAGTTATGACTGTCTACATTCTGATGCTCCAATAGAAAAACACTTGCCTTCGTTATCGCGAATCTGTCGCCACATGGACAAGGAAAATAATATGTTTCTGTTTCTTCATCATACTCAAAATCCTCTATTTCAACCTCGTCGTGAAACACCGTCATTTTAGAGCAGTTACTAGTTAAACGGCCTCGCCGGTGCTGATTCAACACGCGCCCGCTGTGACATACTGGCGCACAATTTTGACGTTGTCAACCAGCGAATTACAACCAAAAGCTGTTCACAATTTAGCCACCAGGAGGAGGCAAATTTCTATCCACCTTACGCCTCACAACAAGTCGCGAGTAATTACAGCTTGAGTACATTAAATAGATTTCTGGATGTGACATTATAATTGACCTCGACTGGGGTTTTCAGTACACGATGAAATGGAATATTCACACTGCAATCAATTATTATTCAGTCATATACAGGTATGCAGACCTACTTTACTTTTCCAATGCAGGCTGGTTCTATTTGCTTACATTTGACTAAGTTAGGTTATATTGGAATAGCATGCTAGTATTAGCCTGTCATACTTAATACTTCTGCAGTGTGCAAAGAATGCAAATCTATATGCAAGAAGCACCCAGATGACATACTATGTTTGCTAAAAGTATACTATTCCAATGCAATGCATACCATGGAGTATACTATTCCAATGCAATGCACTGTAATGTATTATGCATTCAGTCTTGTATTTAAGGTGTTACAGATAATTGCAAGGAATATCAGCCACAATCTTTTAACATTTTTCCACACATTAGTTAGTTACTACTATATAAAAATGTAAACAGTAAACTGGATTACACATATCCATTAAGTATGCTAGTATTTAATTGTAAATATATCCTTTCTCACTTGAATCACATGTACCCTACACAAGACATAAGAACCTAGACCGCATTTAGTATTTACTTAAATACTTGGCAACATGTTTTGAAAATCCAATGTTGTAATTGTTGGAAAGAACTTAGTTTAGTATTGAATTAGATTTGACAAATTCAAGCTTTCACTTACAGTTGAGTGAGTCTCCATGACGTAACTGGAGTAAAGGCTCAGAGACAAGCATTCATTCTTGCAATGCAAATGGGATTAATTGGTCAAATAGATTTGGGCTATTGAGGAGATAAAAGAGGAGAAGATTTTCCCAAGACCTGGTTTTATGAGGCCATGGAAAGTATTTTATATTAAATCTTAAATGCAAGATACTGACTATTAATGCTTTATTTGAGAACTAGTTGCAACAAAAAGCAGTATTCCACAAAAGGACGTTAAGACATAATGCAGCATTTTTATGTTTTGTTTTCTTCTTTCAGCATAAATATTAATAGTGGCTCATATCACCTTTGTGAACAAGTAAATGCCCTCATAAAGCTAGGGTTGCACAGCAGCAATAACTGTAACTAAACATTACCTGTAATTTGAAATGAGCTTTGCTTATTTCTCCGAGGTATTCTTTGGCCTATTCATCTTTGACAGACTGCCTGTGATTATAAGATATAGATTATGATAAGTCTATAAACTGCTATATATTTCTGCTACCTCATTTTAAAAGGAAAACTTTTACCAGGCCACTCAGGACTGTACAGCCATATAGTCATAGCACAAAACATGTTACCATCTCTGAAATCGACCACAAGTAGTCCAGTTCATCACTTAAACAGGCACGTAACTGACAAAGGACATTAATGTTCTACACAGGGCACACAAAATCCAAACCTTAACAAGAAATGTATGCAGACAAACGTGTTCTTTATTTGGCAAAAATGGCCAAAATGCTAAAGAATATTCAATTATAATTATAAAAAATCTGTGACAGTCATTTCTAATTTTTGTCAGTAAATTTTATGCATCCACTGAGAGAAATATAAACTCCTGTACACTTCTCTACACTGGGGAAAAACTGGACTTGCATGACAGAAGTATTATTTTTCCTGTTTTTACCCAAAATAGGGTGTTGTGAGCATTAGTGAGTACAAACATAATGTAAAGTATATTTCATTTATACTCATAGCCAGAGGGCACACTTGTGCAGAAAGTCAACAAGTGAGACTCATAGAAGTCATAAAACCCTTATATAAGTCATAAATCCTTTATATGGACAAAGATAGCCTGCTATCCCTGTACTTGAATAAAACAGATAGAGGCGTTTTGACTGAGGAAACTTGAAGACAATAAACATACAATATATGGTTTATCTGCGTTCTTCTAGATATCTGAGGTAGCTATTTTCATAAGAATAAAGTATATTTATAATGCAATGCTAATCAACATAGCCTTTATCACTCTACAGAATACTATAAAAATTGCCATCATGTGATCTGTTGTCACGGTTGCCTTCTGTAACGAAACGAAGAGACGTGGGATAAACTCAAAGTAAATGTCTTTAATCATCCAAGACGGGGTAAAACAAGGCAGGCAGGGACACACAGGAAACTCAACATCGACATTCAATACCGGACAAACTCAGATAACACAGACAGGAACTTAAGTACATGGGGTAATTGACAAGACACACCTGGGAGCAATCAACAATCAAACAAACGGGAAAACCAAATGAACATAACGAACTATAATGAGGACAGGAACATAACCAAATAAGGGCATACAGAAACAGGAGGCAGGAACAGAGGGAAAACAAAACAAAAACCAACAAAATAACAATTCACCATTGTGATGGCTCAAATCGTGGCATGTAGTTGGAAAGATTCATACAAAGAAAGAAACAGAAGGCCATGTTAATACATTGATTTTCAGAATAAAAGATTTATGTTGCACTTTACCACAAGTTAATACAGGTTTTTGACATTGTCACATGACATTTCTTACCATTTTTGCCATTGTGATGGCTCAAACCAAGTAATGTAGAATGGAATGTTTGCATGGAAAGAGAGAAACAGAGAAGAACATGTTCAAAAACGCAGTGGTTTTCCAGAATATAAGACTGATAGTTAATAAAAAACATTCAGATTGGATTTGCTTTTTATTGCCGTCACATGATGTTTACCATTATGGCAGATCAAATGGAGGCAGGAAGATGTAGAGGTATTACCATATTTGCCATTGTGATGGCTCAAACCATGGCATGTAGTTGAAAAGAGTCATGCAAAGAAAGAAATGGAGAAGAATATGTTCAGAAATATCGTGATTTTCCAGAATTAAAGATTCATGCTGCACTTTAAAATAAGTTACAGTTTTTAATGTATTTGAAATTTGAAAAAAAAAAAAAAAACATGTTTAAGAGATTCTTTTCAGTGAGGGAAAAAAAATGTTGAACAAGTTGATAATTTTTTGCTGCATTAATGTATTTTTATAGAGATTTACCTTCATAAATAGACATATATTGTTCATCCTAGTCAAAGACACAAGCGACTACTGCGGTTCAAGACCATGACATCACAAAAGTAGCAGAATGTTCAAGTTTGAATCTATTTCAACTGAAGTATTGTCATGGTCTGTGTAGAGAGACGAGGCGAGGACTCAAATGCAGGGGAAGAATGGGTCTTTTTTTTTTTATAATAAAGTGAAACAAAACGAACAAAAAACTACCCCGAGGGGAAAAAAAAACAGGCAAGCAGGCAAGCCAGGAACAAGGCACAGCACATCAAAGCAGAGCAGAGCAGAAGGTACATACCACACCTAAACAAGTACTTCTGACATATAACAACGGATCAGCACAGGACTGCAGAATAGGGCTACGTCCACACGAAGCCAGAGCTTTCCCTATCCGATCTTTTTTTTCCCCTCGTCTCTAGAAATATCTGCGTCCACACGAAACCACAAAACGATGTAGTATACATGCCAGACCAGTATGTTGCGCTGTATCGTATAGACCAGGGATCCTCAAATCTGGCCCATGAGATCCACTTTCCTGCAGAGTTTAGCTCTAACCCTAATCAAACACACCTGAGCATGCTAATCAATGTCTTCAGGATCATTAGAAAATCACAGGTAGGTGAGTTTGATCATGGTTCGAGCTAAACTCTGCAGCGCATTGGCCCTCCAGGGCAAGATTTGCGGAACCCTGGTATAGCCGAAACACCTATACGATACAAAATGTATGCGTATACAACTAAATGCGTCTCCGTGTGGACGGGGCCTAAATAGGGAGATAAACGAGGAGGGTAACGAGGGAGACACAGGTGGAGCAACTAAAACAATAATGAGGTGACAGGATGGGAGGGGACAGACAATAAGACAGTAGAGAGCACATGGCACCAAACAAACACAACACAAGGCAAGTTTATTGATAGCACGTTTCATACACAATGGTAATTCAAAGTGCTTTACATAAAAGGAATTAAAATAATCAAAAATAATAAACTTTTAAAATAAACTAAAATTGATTTAAAATGAATTAAAACAGTTAAGAATAGAAAAAGATTATACATAAAATACAGTGCAATCAGTTCGGACGTAGCACAGTGCTCATTCACGAAATGCATAGCTAAACGTATGAGTTTTGAGTCTGGATTTAAATGTCTAATGCCGAGTTCACACTGCACGATTTTCAAAGACGTCGCATCACTGTTGGTTTCACTCTGAATGACTATCTGGGGTAGCATTCAGTTGTTGCTGTGTTCACACTGCACGATGGAACGACGACAGGAGGTTACACACTGCATGACTTTACAATAGGAAGAATCGCCGACAGCTCTGTCTGGTGCAGGGTTGCCAGGTTTTCGCTACAAAACCCACCCAATTACTACTCAAAACTAGCCTGAAAATAGCCCAATTGCTTTCCCAGTAAAAATCGCTTTCGGGGGGTAAAATACAAATTTTCGGGGTTCTCTTCACATTCCAGGGCCTAAATATCACATTATTGGGGTCCCTTCAACCTGCTGACATAAAAGACATAAAAAAGCAATCGCGGATTTGGCAACACTGGTCCGCAAACTACGTTTCATATAACTCCTCCCCGAACTTCCCGCTGCCCTGTATCGTGCTCTCTCATTGGCTGTAGGTCATCGCCGATGTGTTTTTCAGTCAGAACTCATTTCACACAGCGTGATTGTGAATCGCCAACAGTTCCAGATATTTAGCATGCCAAATATTTCACGGGCGACGGCGATTCCCTCAGATCGCGTCTTTGATAATTCACACTGAGTGATTGTCACTCGCGTGAACGAGCACCGATTTGCCTCCGATTTCGGGCATTTGTC